GAATTCTTCTAAACGCACTGTAAAGTGTATGATGACCAAACCTATGGCCACATGCCGCTTTTCCAGGCAATGAATACACATGCAACATATTTCAAAATTTATCAAACAGTGTTATATATGAATATTATGACATATGGTATAACCTTTACTTATGAGGTCTAAGAAACATTTGCAGGTTTAAATGAATAGGCTACTTTATAATACTTTACATTTAAGTACAGCAGTTTTCTTTGAACTTTTTCAGAACAGTGCCATTATTAATTCACTTTTTAAATCACATTTTAATTTAAACGTTGACGTTTTATTTATCTTTTTTTATCTGTGTGTTATTGTTCAAACTATTTATTATGTTTAAAGTGGCTGACAATAATAAATATTTATAATAATAAGAATTAATCTGTAGTTTTGTAGTAAGCTGTAGCCGCTTAATTGGGCCTACTATGTATTTCAATACCAGTCATTATGGTGGTACTTTGAGAGACAATTTTTTCTGAGGTGGTACTTGGTGAATTAAGTTTAAGAACCACTATTTTAAAGTATATACTTTTGGTTTAGATATGTCCTATTTTTTTTTACATTTTTATATACAGTATGTTTATGTTTTTTTTATGGTGCAGACAACCATGATGTTTCGCCTAATAAATATTTTCAGTTTTTTCATGTCCTTGGTGTTTAGTGTACCTGTTACTCCTCTCAGCAGTTTACTGTCACTGTAAAACATTGGATTGAAATGTAGATATAGGCCTACAGAGCAAAGAGCTATAGATTTAAAACAACAGTGTTTATATGATTTATTCAAACATTTACTATTTTGAAAGAAGTGCTTGCCATTTGATGCAATTGCTTCAGTCTGACATGTGTTTATAGCATTTTAAATGCAATGTTACATTTTGAAGTAGATGTAAGACATTTGGCATTTTGTGTGTGCAGTTTTGAGAATTGTGTGTAGAGTTTTGAAAAAAGGAGACATTGTTTTGGCAGAAGTTGGAAAAAACTGTAGTGGATCATGTCATCAATCGTGGGCTGACGATGCGTGAGGCTGGACAATGAGTGCAGCCAAACTTGAGTCATTTTACTGTCGCTTCTGTCATCCCGACCTTTAGACTGGAGAACATGCTAGTAACCAAAATTTCATGTTGTATACATGTAGTTTACCCCATGTTATAGTGTATCAGTTGGGTGACACCAGTTTACTTAGTGTAAGAAATCAGCTCCCTACTAAAAAAAACAGCTTAAATCAGCCTAGGCTGGTTGGCTGGTTTATGCTGGTCGACCAGGCTAGTTTTGGAGGGGTTTGGCCATTTCCAGGCTGTTTTCCAGCCATTCCCAGCCTTGTCTTAGCTGGTCAGCCAGAATCAGCTATGTCCAGCTTAAACCAGGCTAATCAAGCTGGTTTTAGCTGGATTTAGCTGGTCATTTTCCAGCCTGACCAGCTAAGATCAGGCTGGAAATGGTCAAAACCCCTCTAAAACCAGGCTGGTCAACCAGCTAAAATCAGCCAACCAGCCTAGGCTGGTTTTAGCTGGATTTTTCAGCAGGGCTATGTACCTCAATATGACTGTACATAATTCATCTCTAATAGTAAGTAGAAAGAAATAAAATATTGCTATAACTCTGGAGTGTGTGAATGGGTGAGGATGCATTTGTGTATACTTTCACCTTCTTTCGTCCCACTCCTGTCCATATCGGGCCCTGTATTGACTGAGCGTTTGGGGTTCTGCGTGAGATGGTTCTGCCTGGTCCAGTCAAAAATGTCACCACGGTCTTGAGTGAATCCACATATCCTAATATCCTCAAACCCGCACACTTGATCTATAACACACACACAAAGGAACATAAGCTCCACTTGGATAATGCGACAGCAGCCACAGGACAATGGTGCCAGTGCGCTAACTACACACCAGCTATAGTTAAATTAAATTAAATTAAATTAAATTAAATTAATTTAATTTAATTTAATTTAATTTAATTTAATTTAATTTAATTTAATTTAATTTAATTTAATTTAATTTAATTTAATTTATCTTTATTTGTATAGCGCTTTTACAATGCAGATTGTGTCAAAGCAGTTTTACATAGAATAACATAGTAAATTGAAAGTGCAGTTCAGTTTTCAGAGTTTAAGTTCAGTTCAGTTCTATAGGTGTGGAGAGACAGTGAAAGAGCCAATTTTTTTTTTTTTTTTTTTTTTTTTTTTGAATGGGAATGATTGGGGGGCCATGATCGGTAAGGGTCAATAGAGGGAATTTGAACACCGGAGTTATACCCCTACTCTTTACGAGAAGTGCCATGGGATTTTTAATGACCACAGAAAGCCATGATCTCGGTTTAACATCTCATCCGAGAGACGGCATTCACTGACAGTATAGTGTCCCCTTCACTATACTGGGACATTAGGATTCACAAAGACTACAGGTTAAGTACCTCCTGCTGGCCTCACTAACACCACATCCAACAGCAACCTTGCTTTTTTTTCATGTGGTCTACCCTTCAGGTAAAGACCAGGCTCAGCCCTGCTAAGCTTCAGTGAGTCTTTGGCTGAAGAGTGTTATGGTTGTGGCTTTATCATGGCTGTGATATTGGCTACATCGTCATCATGTTATAAATAGCTTGAGTCTCTTATGCTTAGCTAAGCGTTCGCACCTGCATTGAAGTGTTTGCTTAAAGTCTGTTTCAGTCGTGTATATCTGATGAGGAGATCTCAGCATGGTTCCTCAGGCGTGTTTAATGTAAGGAAGCCTCTCGACAGGTTCCTCTGGAGTACTCTCAGCATATTGCAGCGTTCACAGCGATTAGCCTCATTTAACAAACGCAGAACACAGAACGCTGCAGTTAGTCACCCTGAACGTCTCCATTCACACTTTAAATGGCTGATTAACTCGTTTTGCAAGTGTGTGAGGAGACGGAGCGAGTGAACGGAGGAGAATGCAGGATTTCCGCGTTGTGGTTTGAAATCCCTCTTCTCTGCCCTCCGCAAGCACGCAGCTCTTCAATTTACTCGGCTGATCTCCAGTCTGTTTTAATTTATGTGACTTTTCTTTTTGTTTTTTGCACCTCGTTGGCAAAGCTCTGCGATTCTGCTGCCAGGAGAACTGTGGTGAATTTAATATGGAAGAACTAAAAGACATGGCGAGGACGGTTTATAGGAGAGAGAGAGAAAGACAACATGAATAAGTAGAAAGAAAAAGCACAGGACTGTCTTACCTGAAGGTCTTGGGTAAGTGTAGGCTGAAAGAGAACAGAAATCAGGTAAAATAGACGCCTTTATTATTGTACATTACACTTAAAGGAGTAGTCCATGCTTAAAATGAAAATGTACTCACTATTTACTCACCCTCGGGACGTTCAAATCTTTAACAAGTTTCTTTTTCTGCTGAATGCAAAAGAAGATATTGTGAAGAATGCTAAAATCTGGTAACCACTGACGTCTGTAGTAGGAAACACAAATGTGATTAAATGCTAAGTTAATGGTTACATGTTTGTAGCACTTTTCAAATTCTTTTGTATTCAGCAGGAGAAAGAAACTCATAAAATTTTGAAACTCATAAAGGGTGAGCAAATGATGACAGATTTTTTCATTTTTCTGGGTGAACTATCCCTTTAAGACACAGGTCTCAATCTGAATTCCTGGAGGGCCGCAGCTCTGCACAGTTTTGCTCTAACCCTAATCAAACACAGCAGATCCAACTAGTTGATGTGTTCATGACTCTTTTGAACACCTTAATTAGTTTGATCAGCTGTATTTGATTAGTGTTGGAGCAAAACTGTGCAGAGCTGCGGCCCTCCAGGAATTGAGTTTGAGA